ATACAATATCTCCTTTGTCTTCTTGTCCTGCACAAAGAATCGAGTCTTATCACAAATGAACCATCTTGCATTATCAGCACACAATTGTTTAACAGATAGCAGACTTTTAGCAATTTTAGGCACACGTAATACATTCTTTAAAACAAGAGAATGAGATTTTGTGTTAAAAGAGGTAGATCCAATATTTTTTATTGACAATTCAGAGCCATTGCCAATAATAATCTTGTTAGAACCTTCAAATGGTTGCACTTGAGTTAAGGAATTGATATCTACAGTTATATGGTGAAATGCACCAGTATCCACAATCCAGGAATCATTTGAATAAGTCTGTGGTGTTTGATGTGCTGCCATGGCATTTAGAGAAGCTGGTGGTGGTTGTCCTTGAAAAGAGTAATTGCCCCTGTGAAAACACTCCAGAGCCAAGTGCCCCCGTTTTCCACATATATGACATTCCAACAAAAATCCCTGAGAAGAAAATCCATTGTTCCTTTGAAAACAATTGACTGTTGTATGACCCATTTTTGTTGCAAATCTGACACTCAACAACAACATTAGTTCTATTCTAAGTGTTGCCAAACCAATTACAACCATTACTGCCTTTAAATCCTCCAGAATTAAACCCTTTTCCTTTGTAGCCACCAATATTTCTGAAATTGTTATTTCCCCTATATGTAGATCCATTTGTAGGAAATCTCGGACCAGAATTATTGTTATTTCCCCCAACAAAACCATAACCATAAGGCATTTGATTAAAAAATGAAGCTGGTTGAATTGATGCAAAACCAGGAAGAACATAAGCTTCAGGAGGAAATGGCATTTGAACTTGAGGCATTGGAACCGGCACAGAATTATAGTTATAAGCACCATGAGTAATGATTGTGGAGCCAAAAATAATCATAAGGCGACACGTGGATTTTTTAGTAAAAGATGACCAAACTACCCTTGAGACATACCAGAATTCCTACACGCGAGCAGCTCAAAAATGCTCCAAAGAGGTAACAATTCAATATTCATCTCATCAAATTCCCTTTTTTCCAAAGTAACCTCCAAAACAATATTAATTACCTATTAAATTATACAATTTAACCTAAAAATTGTTAAAGGGTCAGCCACTTCCTTTTCATCCTCACATTTCTCACTTTTCTCCATTTTATTACCCCATTTATACAAATAAATAATTTTGTAACCTCTCATTTACTTCTTTCATACTTAATTAGCCAATAAATTGGCTAATTAAGCCAAAACCATAACCACAAAATCCCTTGAAAAACCGGCCACTCCTAGCCCTATAAATAGGCTCCTGTTTTCACCAAACACCCATTCCAACACTTTGGCAAAAATCCCAAAAAACTCTCCAAATACACTTTGTTTTTTTTTTGCAATTTTGTATGCGATCTCAAAGTATATACAAACAAGTTTGACGGTTGGATCGTTGAAACTAATTTCATACAATGCGTTTCCCATCAAAATCAATGATATCTGTATTACTAAGTACATTTTCATTTATTTATTTGTATTCATAAGCAAAAGGGTAAAAAAAAAAAAGACCTTGCATGACGTAGGTAGAACTACGTCGCACAAAACCATTTTGTGTGACGCAGTGGCACCTACATCGCGCAAAGTCTTTTGTTTTTTTTTTTTTTTTGGGTTCTTGCATTGCCTTTTTTCTTTTGTGGTATCCACTTGTGTAAATTTTTTAAATTGATGATCGAATTAGTTCATTGTATTCATATAGGGTCAAAGAGTGTAACTGTAAAAATCATCAAAATCATAGTTAAAATAACTGTTAAATCGTGATTTTTCGTTCATAACCGTCGAAAAGTTTTGTCCCGTACTTGATCTCTGAATGTTTGTTTTTTACGATTTTTGGCGCATGCCATCTCGAAGCATATACAAACAAGTTTGATTGTTGGATCGTTAAAATTAGTTTTGTACAATGCATATCCCATCAAAATCAATGGTATATGTATTTACTAAGTACATTTTCATTTATTTATTTTGTACTCATAAGCAAAGCGGTAAAAAAAAAAAAAAGACTTTGCACGACGTTGGTACAACTACGTCGTGCAAAGCTGTTTTGCGTGACGCAATGGCACCTACGTCGCGCAAAGTCTTTTTTTTATTTTTTTGGGGTTCTTGCATTGCATTTTTCTTTTGTGGTATCCACTTGTGTAAATGTTTTAAAATTGATGATCGAATTAGTTCATTGTATTCATATAGGGTTAAAGAGTGTAGCTGTAAAAAATCATCAAAATCAGAGTTAAAATAACCGTTAAATCGTGATTTTTCGATCATAACCGTCGAAAAGTTTTGTCCCATACTTGATCTCTGAATGTTTGTTTTTTACGATTTTTGGCGCATACGATCTTGAAGCATATACAAACAAGTTTGACTGCTGGATCGTTAAAACTAGTTTTGTACAATGCGTATCCATAAAAATCAATGGTATATGTATTTACTAAGTACATTTTCATTTATTTATTTTGTACTCATAAGCAAAACAGTAAAAAAAAATAAAAAAAAGACTTTGCGCGACACTGGTACAACTTTGTCGTGCAAAGCTGTTTTGCGTGACGCAATGGCACCTACATCTCGCAAAGTCTTTTTTTTTATTTTTTATTTTTTGGGGTTCTTGCATTGCATTTTTCTTTTGTGGTATCCACTTGTGTAAATATTTTAAATTGATGATTGAATTAATTCATTGTATTCATATAGGGTTAAAGAATGTAGCTGTAAAAAATCATCAAAATCAGAGTTAAAATAACCATTAAATCGTGATTTTTCTTTTATAACCATCAAAAAGTTTTGTCCCGTACTTGATCTCTGAATGTTTGTTTTTTTCGATTTTTGGCGTATACGATCTCGAAGCATATACAAACAAGTTTGACGGTTGGATCGTTGAAATTAGTTTTGTACAATGCGTATCCCTTCTCTAAACAATAGATTCACTAATACTTGGAGTTTATTTATACTTTCATTAAGTATAACATAAGATTTTGCGGTATCCACTTGTGTAAATATTTTAAATTGACGATCGAATTAGTTTATTGTATTCATATAGGATCAAGTAGTGTAGTTGTAAAAAATCATCAATATCGGAGTTAAAATAACGGTTAAATCGTGATTTTTCGTTTATAGCCGTCGAAAATGTTTGTCTCGTTACTTCATATCTGAATGTTTGTTTTTTTGCGATTTTTGGCGTATACGATCTCGAAGCATATACAAACAAGTTTGACGGTTGGATCGTTGAAATTAGTTTTGTAGAATGCGTACCCCATCAAAACAATAGATTCACTAACACTCAAGAGTTTATTTATACTTCCATTAAGTATAACATAAGATTTTGTGGTATCTACTAGTGTAAATATTTTAAATTGACGATCGAGTTCATTCATTGTATTCACATAGGGTCAAGGAGTGTAACTGTAAAAAACTCATCAAATTCAGAGTTAAAATAACCGTTAAATCATGATTTTTCGTTTATAACCGTTGAAATGTTTTGTCTCGCTACTTGAACTCTGAATGTTTTTTTTTTTTTTGCAATTTTTAGTGTATGCAATCTTGAAGCATATACAAACAAGTTTGATAGTTGGATCGTTGAAATTAGTTTTGTAGAATTTTATAATAATTTTTAAAAATATATATATATATAACTTGCGCGACGCCTTAATGGGATCGTTGCACAAAACCACTTTGCGCGATGTTGTAATGTATACATGCGTCGCGCAATGTGTTAAAAATTTGGCGGTAGTTTTGTAAAAATTAGGCGCTTTTTTTTTTATTTTCCCAAATTTGGTCTCACTCGGTCTCTCAGGCCATTTCCAACCGAAGGGTCCAGAGGGCCGAAAATAACCCTAAAACCGTCTCCAGCCGAGGGTTAGGCCAGAGGGCTTGGGAATCTGGGACGGCCCCATGGAATTTTAAAGGGCCAAAGGGCTAAAGGGCTGGCTATTTTTTTTTTTTATATAGTTTCCCTATTGTTGTCACTTATAACCGACAGCATTAAGGAATGATTTTTTAATACTGTCGGTTATAATCGACAGTAATAGGTATTCATAGGCAAATTTTTTTTTTATTTACTATTAGTGTCGGTTATAACCGACACTAATAGTTTGAAATTTTTTTCAATATAACGACTAGCTGAGTTAGCTAGCTGTTGCAGCTAGCCGTTGGGTTTTCCTTCAATATATTTTTCCAATATTTCCTTCTTCAATATTTTTCAATATTGCCTTCAATATATTTCTCAATATTTCCTTCAATATCTCCTTCAATATATTTTCCAATATTTCCTTCATCTATAATATTTGTTTCAATTTTTCAATAATTTCCTTTAATATTTTTTCAATAATTTCCTTCAATAAGTTCCTTCATTTGTTTCCTATAACTTATATTTCACAAAATTTGTTTCATATTTTTTTTAAATTCTATTTTTTTTCCTATAACTTCTATTTCACAAAATTTGTTTCATATTTTCTATAACTTCTATTTCACAAAATTTGTTTCATATTTTTTTTAAATTCCATTTTTTTCTTTAACTTCTATTTCACAAAATTTGTTTCATATTTTTTTTTAAATTCTATTTTTTTCCTATAACTTCCTAAGTCATTATACAACATTAAATTAAATTAAATAACATGAAACAACATTAAATAACATTAACCAACATAAAAATTATACAACATGAAACTTAAACAACATTTTTAAAAACATTTAAAAACATAAAACGTAAATGTCTACTCCATGCTTCTTTGGGCCCAAAGATGTGCAACAAGATTTTGTTGTAGGTACTTGTTTGTGGTTGAATTTGAATTTAAGTTGTAGTTTTTAAATAATAAATTATGTTTGGCACTATTGCCCTTTGGCCCTCGGATGGAGACGGTTTTATGTAAAAGGGCTAAAACGAGCCATCTGGCTCTCGGTTAGATACGGAGGCAAATATAGTTCTATATTATTCATTAAAATATTGATATCTTAAAGAATCTTGAAGAACGCTAAAACGAGTCATCTGTCCAGCCTTCGGTTGAAGATGGCCTCACATCTCGCGTAGCAGCCTGAGCCCTGAGCCTTGAGCCTCCTCTCTCTCTCGATCTTCAATCACTCTCTCAAACCCTCTGTCTCTCATTCCCAACACCATCTCTCGATTTCTCTCTATTTCTGCCTTCATCCAAAAGAATTTCACACGCCTCCACCTCGGCCAAGCTCGCGCCGCCGTCAATTTCGCTCTATTTCTGGCACATTCAATCTCATTATTTGCATATTTAATTTAATGATTGTGGTCAGATCCATGTTTGAAAAGGATGGGTCTGCAAAGGGAATTGTTTTCAGCCAGTTCACATCGTTCTTGGATATTTCAAGGTTCGAATACACCCAGATGAACAAGTCCAACGACAACGATTGGTTCCGAATCTCCGCTGCCAATCCCAAGGGTACACGATGGACTGGCAAGTGCTGGTACGTCTACACCTCCTCAAGTACGAGTTCGATCTCCAGTTCAATATCTCCATCACCTACCCCGCCACCGCACCTGAACTCGAGCTCCCTAACTAGACGGCAAGACCCAAAAGGTCGGCCTTATTTTGATTTTACGATTTTCCCTCTTCCCCCATTTTTGTTTTCTGATTGTAATTTAAGTCCGTTAATTTCTGGGTAATTTTGGATTGGTTCAGATGTATAGAGGGGGGAAGATCTGCTTGACAGTGCATTTCAAGCCGCTTTGGGCCAAGAACTGGTGATTTTTCTATCTTGCTGTCTTTAATTTGTTGTATGTGTTAAATTATTGTGAATTTTTTATCTGTTTGGTCACTAGAAATTATAAGAAATGTAAGGAAAGTTGTTTTTCTTTTTTTTTAATTTTTTGTTGGGAAATTTGTAATATTTGGGTTTACTTAAGATTTCGAAATCAGCTGTGAACTCGGCTCTTAATTTGCTTTAGAAGATATGACATAACAGAACAATAAAAACTCAAATGTTGTTGCAACTGACAAAGAAAACTCGAAATTTGTTCGGCTTTTTTATTATTTGCTTCGAGCAGAAAATTAGGATTCTGAAACCAATTTATGTATTTAGATTAAGTATCTTTGCCTCCGTGAAAGGAATTTCTTTTCGCATAACATGACTTACCTTGCATTTTCTTTGTGGAAGAATTATGTTTGTATTCTTTTCTGTGGATAGAAAATAATTTGTGTAAAACTTGCGCAACGCATTTTCTTTTTCCTTAATTTGAATTGTAGTGAGAAACATCCGTCTGTGGAACTTTTGCTTTTCATGGCATTCACATGGTAATTGATTACCATGAAAGTGTTAGTCTCCCTTTAATCTCCAACAAGGAACGTACTCTAATCTCTTCTGGAAAGCATTAATGCAAACAAACAACGTGCTCATTTGTTTAATTAAACATGTTTGGAGTTATCGGCTATTAGTACTTATGATCTTTCTCATGTTATGCAGTCCAAGATTTGGTATGGCACATGCACTTTGTTTGGGTCTTGCACCATGGCTTGCTGCATTCATGCTTATAAGAATAGCACATGATTTTTCTTTTTTATATGAAGTTTATGAAAAGAGGATTGTGGCTGAAGCTGGATGCTTCACAGTATCGTAAGAAATAATGTTTTAGCATAAATTTTCTACGGTTTTGCATCTCAATTATTAATATTAGAACAGAAAAAAAATTTGGGCTTCCAATTGCTGGTAGAATTGAATCCATGGCTGTTTAGCAAGTTCATAATCTATCATGTGTTTATCTTTTCTCAAACGATCCCCCTTAATATGATTTTTCAAGAGTTCTACCTATACAAGTACAAATTTTTTTCTTGATCCATATGCTTATGTCCGTGCAGATAGAGAGAGGCAACAATTGCTGAGGCTTAAGCATTAGGGGCAGTAGTTTTCTCTCAAGGTCCTTTGTTTGCAGGTGTTAAAAAAATGTGAAGGCTTCAAGTGACAATGTCCTTGTTTGTTGGTCTCTGGATAGTTTGATATTTCCTTGTATATCTCATCGTTTTATTGTTTACTTTAGAAGATTACTTGTTTTTTCTTTTTTGTTCGGACATCTTGTATGTACATTTTCATATATTTTATAATTAAATACTTTTGCTTGGTTAATTAATTATTGTTTAGAATTTAATTACAATATTTATAAAAAAAATGTATATTTTTGACCAAAACAAAAAAAGGGTTTGCGCGACGCATGTCCTACGTCGCGCAATATTTATCAAAAATTTAAAAAAAAATTTGACCAAAACAAAAAAAGGGGTTTGCACGATGCATAACTACGTTGTGCAAAGCGGCTTTGTGCGACGCATGTCCTATGTCGTGCAAAGTAACTTTGCACGACGCACGTCCTGCGTCGCGCAAAGCCGCTTTGCACGACGCACGTCCTGCGTCGTGCAAAGCCACTTTGCACAACGTAGCCATGCGTCGCGCAAAGTGACTTTCCATGACGGAGGACGTGCGTTGCGCAAAGCCGCTTTGCACGACGCATGTTACTTGTTCGTCGCGCAAACCCTAGCGTCACTGTCTTGGCACAACGGTTAGTGCACGACGAAGGTTGCGTCGCGCAAACCCTTAGGCAACGATTTTTAACTTTGCGAGATGAAGGTACGTACGTCGTGCAAAGTGTTTTTTCTACTAGTGATTGTGCATTCGTATGTATACTCCCTCCAGAAAGCTCGCTAATTCGCAATGTTAAAAGGAACATGGCATTTTTACCATTCATTCTTACTGCACGCATTTATACTTTCAATGTTTTGTGTGTAGTTATTGTATAATTATGCTTCAGTTTTTGCCGTAGTATAGGGCATAGGATTCAGTCATTAAACATTGTATATCATCAACATCATCACGTGCAGCAAAATGCAAAAATACTTTTTTTTTTTTTTTTATCAGCGCCCCTACTATCTAATTTGACAAAATAAAAAATAAAAAAAACTAATAAAAGAATGCAGAAAAATTCAAAAACTGCTTGACAAAAGGCAGTCATCTTTACTCATCAACTTATCACAAATTTGTGCAAGTATTTTTGGGCTCTCCCCTATATATAACTTTCTGCATCCCCATGTAGTTTGTATTTAATTTAATTCCTAATTACATTTGATATATATAGTTTAGCAGTAATACAAATTGGAATTTATATACTTGCAATGTCTAGATTCTCGACATATATACTTGGTCCTTTCTAATCCTAACCGCGGTCGCGTTTTGAAGTCCTATAATTTAAAAGTAAGTTCAGTCCTAGTGCTTAAGTTCAAATACAAAGCAAGATGTGAAAAGCAAAATCTCCTCAAACTAAAATATCAAAACGTCCCAAAGCAATATAACAACCAATCATGTTCCCATACCCATGCCCTCTTTGTCCAACTTTTTTTATATGAACAAAGATTGTCCTTAGGCCTCTCAATTTGAAAGCAAATCTGCATATTTTTGTGTACCTACCGACAAAAATCAACAGAATAGAAGTTAAAAGGTGACTTGATGACTGAAATGAAATACTTTATATCTTAAACCAAGGGCAAGGAAATTATCAAATGAAAAGAGTTAAACTAAATCAGACATTTCGACAAAAAAAAAATTAAATAAATAAATAAATCAAGCATTATTCTTAATTTATTATATAAGCTATGACTTGTAGGAGGGCAAAGAAGTCAATTTAGTAATAAAAGAAATAACACATACAATTAATTTATTCTATAATGAATTTGTTCCATACAAATTCGGAGTTTAGGCATTTCTTCCTAACAACACACCCAAAATATGAGTTTTTAGTAGATCCAATTTGTTTCATACATAATTGTGGTAGGGTTATTGTGTTCCTCACTTCCTGTTTTTCTACTCCCAATAAATATAAAACCAAACCTAAAAGCTCACATGTGCACATTCAATCACTCAAATAGAATTATAAGAGAAAATTTTTAACATGAAATTAAAATGATGTCGCATACTTGAATAATTCTCGTCATTTACCTGGAACGCTTCAAAAGATCAAAAAAAATAGAGAAGTCAAAACTCGAGGCATAGATGAAAACTACAGTAAAACTAAATAAACACATAAAATAGAGAGAAAATAATACACTCTCCCATTGTATATCCATAAACTCTTCATTAGCCAAATTGTTTGAGAAATTAGACAAAAAATAAGCCAAAAATAGAAAGAATCAAATCTTAAGAGACAGAATATACAAAACCTCAATTTGAAAATGGCCTTCACGAACTGGCTATAGGAAAGGGATAAAATTTCATAAGAAAGGAGAAGTCGGACGGCGAGGTTTCAATGCGTCTGCCAACCCCAAGAGAGTCTGAAAATGAAGAAGTCAATTTGTTATTGTTATTTGGGAGGATTGGGGAAAGGAACCCGAAAAATGCGAGAAGAAACCCAAAAAATTACTCTAAAAAGAGAAGTAAAAGAACATCCAAACCTGAAGACTTTGATTCCATCACTGTGACTTGAGGATGTCCTTAAGTCCTGTGAAGAAAAATAAAAATAAAAATGAAAGCCTAACCTATCAATTGATTTATTTGATATGTTAAGAGAATAAAATCCTGCAGAGAACAAAAACCACAATCAAACCACTACAATTAACGTGCAGAATTTTCAATAATCCTGTGAAAATGCATGAGAAGATTAAGGAATAAGAAGCATTGTGATGGAGAACAAAACACACAAATTTAATAATTGAGAACTACAAAACGACCAGTTCTTGTTGGTTTTTTGCCAATTTGATCTTCTCCTCCAGGCTTTAGCACAACAACTTCAAATTGTTCTCTTGAGGTTGTTTTATTTTGTGTTTTATTTACATGTCCCACAAGACTACTTCCTCTCCCATGTTTGCTTTTATTTTCATGCATGTTCACGTTTATCGTTCTACAAAACTGTTTCCTTCACACGCTTGCAGCCAACAACTGCCGAATAGCAGTTCTACTCTATACATATTAGGTCTCTTTTTTTTTTCTTTTTCTTTTTAATTCCATCAGCAATAACATGAGAGTCTGTAAATTGAAAGCAGTTTGAAAACGTAGTCTCTCTCCCACATTTCTTTCCTCAGTTTCCAATAATTTTTTTATTTTGTTTTTTATTGGTGTTTTTACTGCATCTGTCTCTTTGTGTTTTCATTTTTTTTATTTTAAAACAAGACCGGTTACCAGTATTGCATTCGTCAATTATCAATTACGTGGACTTGTTTTACCAGTATTCGGTTTAATTTCCGTTATTTATTTATTTATTTATTATTATTATTATTATTATTATTATTATTATTACTAGCATTTGCCTACACATTTTGTGTGTATGAACACATTTTTTAGAAAATGAGGAGAGAGGGAGAGAGGGAGAGAGAGAACGTGAGGGAGTTGGAGGTTTTTTTATTATTTTTTATTATTATTTCAAATTTTAAATATTAGAGATATTTTAACATCACCTGTAGTTGAGGCTTCAATAAAAAACAATAAAAAACAATAAAATTTGGTCTTGTGAAATTACATTATTGCCCATCATTTTTTTTGTGTGATAGAAGACTAAATTGTCTTTTTACCCTCTTTTGGTTGACAAAAAGGGTTTCATTAATTAATAGAGATTATTATTTTTATTTCTTGCTTTTTAGTAAAAATTTAGTTTTTTCTTTCAATACAGTAAATGTTCGGTTATACGTTTTTACCAGTTTGTCCTATTTTTGTTAATTTTTTTAGACTTTTTTTTAACAAACGATATTTTCTACACTAAACAGGATGAGATGGGCTAAACTCTTTTTTGGACTTGATTGTAAAAAAAAACAGAGTGGCATTTTTGGCATTTCGAAATGCTTCACCATTTTGTTGTTCTGGCTTTATCTATACTAATTAATGAAACTCTCATTGTCAACCAAAAGAGGGTGAAAAGATAACTTAGTCTTCTATCACATAAAAAAATTGATGGGCAATAATGTAATTTCATATGTCCAAATTTTACTGTTTTTTATTGAAGCCTCACCAACATGTGATGTTAAAATATCTCTAATATTTAAAATTAAAAATAAAACAAAAACAAAAACCTCCCACTCCCCCCATGTTCTCTCTCTCTCTCTCTCTCTCCCCTCTCTCCTTCTCATTTTCTTAAAAAATGTGTTCATACACACAAAGTGTGTAGGAAAATGCTAGTATATATAGATAGATGAGGAACTGGATGCACTTTTTTCTTTAGTTTACTTTTTAGACCGCAAAACTACTAAATTTTAGAGGATAACTATCCAACAGGATCTTCTCCGGATCTTCTTTGTGAGGATCTTGAGGATTCGTGAATCATGTTTGTTCATCGTACATCGTGCGGTCAGTTTTTCGTTTTCACTTTGCATAAAGTAATGATTTAAATGTTATTCATGTAATTGTTAAACAACATGGGATTTTGGATGCAAGTTCCTACCTAAAGTCCATGAGCAATAGAAAGTATATGAAAACATTAAGTACTCGTACCAAAATACAAAACAACTTAAATATCAAAATATAAAACCTACATCACAATATGTACATTATTCACAATACCCATTAAGTCTATATTGCATTGTTTCTTTTGAAAAGAAAGTTTACATATTTACATCAATGCTGCAATTTCCACCAATTTGTTCCTGATTGATGCTTCAATTTTTCATTGCCAATCTACAAACGATAGTGAGAAAATTAAAAATCAAATAAAAAGAGTTAATTGATAAGTGAGAAATGCATACTGAAAGTTTATCGTTAATAAATTTGTTATCTATTAGGAATCACCATAATTAGCTGGAATGAAGCAAGACTTCTTTGTATACTACATTCCGTGTAAATAAACTTTGTTGGCCTACTATGGAGCCATTTTTTACTAACACGGTTGTGGTTGACTTTTAAACCCCCTCAATAAAGCCACATATAATTGTCCATGACTGAAGACGTGATCTGGAAGGTAAATGCCTACATGTGGTATTGTCTGACCTTGAGATTTGTTTATAGTGATAGAAACTTAGTTTTACTGGAAACTGCTTTCCTGTAAGTTCAAATGGAATCCCAGCAGTATTAGTGTTTTTTAGAGGGATTCTTGGTAAGAAAACTCTAGATCTAGCAAATTGTCCAGTTAGAATTTCAGCATCAATAAGATTTCAGTAAGA